GAAAGAGTGAATAACTCATTAAGGTTTTGATATGCGGAATTCATTAGTGCTTTTTATAGTAAGTGACCTCTTCACATGAAGTACTAATTACTTTTTCTTTCCATAAAGGAAAAGTCTTTAATTCACGTGACTTTTCTCCAACAAATAGTTCAACATGTGATGCTAATATTCTATAAAACATTTTCTTCTCAAATATATGCAAGTAACTTCCGATAAAATTATTTTTATGGGTGAATGAAAACAGGATAGTAGGTGTTAGGTGTTATACTGCTTTTAAAATAACTATAACAAATCTAAACCACAGATAAGGGGCTTTTAGTGTCATTGTATCACCCAAATATGTTAAAGGGCAAAGTTGGTTAAGAGCTATTTCACTGACTTCATTAAGAGCAGGGTTTGAATCACTGTGGTTGCAAATGCTGTGTTTATTTCATGCAAAAATAAAAAGGTCAGAAACAAAAATATTGATAGGAAGAAGATTAGTAAATAGTAAGACTTAAAACCAAAAGAAAGTAAGTAGTTAAAGGAATGGTGTTTCCATACACAATTTTCATAAATGTCAGGGCTTTACAAGTTGTAAATGAGAACTAGTATAACTCCATATAGTATATTTCCAGTACTGATGCTATTACCTCCAATATGACTTGTATTCATGGACTTTTCTACTTAAGAAAGAAAAACAACGGACAAGAAAACAGAAATGGAATTTGCTACTCTGAAACAAAGTCCTGCAGTATGGTTCTGTCAGTTGTTGCAGCAAGAAAGGAAAACACAACATAACTACACAACTGAAACAGAGGTAATATATGCATTTAGGTTGCTCCTTTATATGAAGCACAACAGCATTTAAATCACCCTCCTGTAAATAGCACGAATGAGGCTTGAATGACAACACTGAACTGTGTTGATTGTAAATATGCAGGATTTCTCTTTAAAGGTCTGTCTCAAACAAAGATGATATTAAATCTTTTAAGACTGTACAAAGAAAAAGGAGTCATTTGTACATCACATACACTTAATTTGATTTACTGACGTAGTAAAAATGATCTTGTTCTACATTCATAGTAATGATAACCTGTTATCACGTGATGTCTTAGTTTTGCCTCAATATGCCTTTGCACTATTCAGATGTGTACGGCATTATTTTGTTTCCCATAAAGTATGAGTAACCTAGGGGGACTTGCCTTCAGAGATGAGTAGCAGGCTTGTTTCAAAAACCTTGTCATCATAATGAAAAAATGCACTTTAAATGGAAGTACCCATCTGAATAATACACTTATGATCAAAAAAGATGTATAGAAAGAAGTAATGCAACTGGGAGCAGGAAT